GGCTAAGACCTCACTAAAAATGAGGTCAACAAAGCGCCTTAATCAAATAGTTTCACGTTGGTTGGTTAGCTGATTTTAATACTATTTAAATGATGAAATATCTTAGCCAACAGCAAGATGCTTGGCAACGCACTTTACTACAATTTTGATAACAGTTTTAAATTAGTATTAAAATCTATTTAAAAAAAGATTTAATATTAAATCTGTATGTTTGTCATTTATATATATTTAATTACTTATAAGAGCTTGATTAAGCTTTGATTCATTTAAATTCAATAATTAGAAAGTTAAATGAAGGCTTTGTGAATATGGGCTCAGTTTGTTTAGAGGTTAATGAGGGCAATAAATAGAATTGAGAGGGGCTAAAGTGATTAAATTGCACATTTTCTTAATAAACTTTCAGATCTCAAGAGGGGTAGGTCCGCCTCTGTTACCTATTATTCTGGCCTTGTGGAGCCTTCTTATGGAATCCCTCTGTTTGAATTTTTGGTATTGTCCTAGTTGTAGTATTTCAGTATGTCACTCCACTTGTGTTGCTCCTGTTTGTCTGTCCTATTTCATTTTTGTTTTCAACCAATTACATGAATTCCATACTTTCCCTCAATCTTCGCGGTCTCAACAGACAAAGCGCTGCTTGAATTTTTAGCTTCATCTTTCATGAAGTTTTCTACCAACACTTCTTCCGATATCCCTCTCAAATGGTTGGACAACATCTCAAATTTCTTCCTATAATCCATGACGGACCCTTCCTGGACTAATGCAAAAAACTGCTCGTGTAAATCCCTTTTTCGTGTGGTTTTGAAACACTCCCACAATTGGTCCTTGAGTTCTTCTCATGTTCTAATTGGCTGATTTTGTTTTCTTGGTATCATGCTATATCCTCTTTTTTAAAACACAGAGTTTTCGACATTAATTTCTCTTCCTCCGTCAGCCGGTCAACAACAAAATATCTCTCCAAACAACAAAAATAAGTCGCCTCTGTTACCATTATTCTTGTCTTGTGGAGCCTTCTTATGGAATCCCTTTGTTTGAATTTTTGGTATTGTCCTGGTTGTAGCATTTCAGTATGACACTCCACTTTTGTTGCTTCTATTCGCCTGTCCTATTTCATTTTTGTCTTCAACCAATTATATGAATTCCATACTTTCCTTCAATCTTTGCGGTCTCAACAGACAAAGCGCTACTTGAATTTTTAGCCTCACCTTTCATGAAGTTTTCTTCTAACACTTCTTTCGATATCCCTCTCAAATGGTTGGATAGCATCTTAAATTTCTTCCTATAATCCATGACGGACCCTTCCTGGACTAATGCAAAAAAGCTGCTCGTGTAAATACCCTTTTCGTGTGGTTTTGAAACGCTCCCACAATTGGTCCTTGAGTTCTTCTCATGTTTTGATTGGCTGATGTTGTTCTCTTCATTGGTACCATGCTAGATCCTTTTCTTTAAAACATGGGGTTGTCTTCATTAATTTCTCTTCCTCCATCAACCGATCAACAACAAAATATCTCTCCAAATAATGAACGCAGCCATAGGCATCTTCAACTTCTTTATCTTGAGTTTTCTCCCAAATTTCCTCAACCGAAGTTCATTCCACCCATGAAGCGGGGGTTGGGTTTCCTTTCTTAACCCATATTAATTTTCCTTCTTCCACAAGTCTCGCTTGCCTGATAAGTAGTTCTTACGTCTCCATAGGGTCCTGAATCGCCTCCATCCCAAAGACTGTCGCAAACAAAAGGCATTGGCTCAGCTGGATGCATCCCTCGGTCGTATTCCCACCCACTGTGGTTTCCTCTTCCATGTTGAAATCTTTCTGATTAATCTTCTCCAACCCCAAATCACATGCCATCTCGGTATGCCTTCTCATAGCTCCAATCGTTCGGATGTTCGAGCTATTCTCTCCAAGTGCTACCGCTCGGATCCGCTTTTGATTCCTTCCCTTGATACCGCAGCTCCAGATCTGCCTAAGGCAGTGACACTGCCCTGATGTAGTACGAATCTTTTTTATTGTTGTCGCCTACATCCACAACAGCGCCGTAACTTGATCGCTAGGCAGGCGACAATGGGTTTGTTTGAAATTTCGCAATTTTCTTCATCATTTCTTCCAGGGATGAGAACCGCCCCTCCATGGACTAGAAATGTTTTTCCATTTCAAATTTAATTTGGCTCACATCTTCCTTTAATTTCTCATCCAGAGCATCTACTTTCTTGGTCACCATTACTCTCATGATTATTTTTTTATCGTTAAGATCAATCTCATGTACATCGAGATCATGTCGTTGGCTTCCCAGCTAGCTTGAATCACGACTGTATCGAGAGGTTTGGTCATGAAGGTGATGCCACGATCCCGTTGTTGGCTTCCAAACTATCATGAATCGCAATTGTAACGCGAGGTTCGGTCATGAAGGAGACACCACGATCCCATTGTTGGCTTCCTAGCTATCTCCACTCGCGACTGCATCTCGAGGTTCAATCACAAAGGCAACAGAGGCGAGGCCATCACTGAGATCGGGAGGGTGCCTCGACGATTTCAGAATGATACGAGGCAAAGCAACGACCTCAAATGCGCTTGAGAAATTTCTAGCGGAGCAACGACTCCTATTTTTTTAGATCAATTTTATAGTAAACATGACAAGTTTCCACAGAAATTAGGTAAAAATAAAATATCTCACTTTACAAAACAACACATCCCAAATACTTAAATATAAACTTATAATTATATAGGTAGGTCATCCATTCCATACCTTAAACCTAAGATTCAAGACAACAATCACATAACATAACCCTAAACTTATTAAGTCCTATTTATACTCACATAATAACTAACAAATTACTAAATTGCCCTTTTTAGTGTTGCACTTAGCATAAGTCTTCAAATCATTTTACGGGCTCAGTGTCTACTCAGTGGAGCACTAGGTGGACGGTGCCATAGAGCCTGTCTAACATATGCACAAAGTGCTAAGTTTGTTTCTGTAACCTTTTGTTTGAATGACTGCTATTCCAAGACTCGATTATGATTTTATTGCACATTATCCATCATACCTCCCCAGACACTATCCTTGACATGTTAAAACTTTGGGATGATCATTTTGAAATACAATTCTTAAAATTGCAGACAAAAATTTCGCAAATTAATTTTAAATTATTTTAGTTAGAAGAACACTCTTCGTCCATGTCCCAGCACCGTTTACTTGCGGATAAAAGTGATGGTTTATGCTCTAAAATTTGTGCGAGGTTTGAGCATCGGATAGTAAGAGTTGTGTTAGGTGCTATATAGGTGTTTTCAGCATCCATATGTTCATATGCTTATCTTGTTTCTTTCATGAACAAGAAATTTACTGACATATTGAACTTGATGGAATCTCTTATACTGTTAACGTAATTAGTCGTAGACTTCAACTACTAAAAGTTCTTAACTATCCCCCAGCTGCTGTCATTCATTATTGTTGAAGCAGAGTAGCACATTTTGGTTACATTATTGACTTGGCACTGAAGCTTTCCATTAACTTTTCTGTCAACAGAGCTGATATATGGTCATTTGGAATCACTGCTCTTGAGCTGGCACATGGTCATGCTCCTTTTTCGAAGTACCCTCCAATGAAGGTAAGCACTATTATTTAATGACTGGTTTTAATCTGTGAATGTGGATTCAAAGACCTCTGATAGGCACGTGACCTTTCCTTCTCCATTTGGTTTTAGGGTTGGCTTAACCTTTTCTCCATTTATTCTTAGAGTTGGCAGTGCAAGTTACTTTTAAAATTTTAGATAGTTTAATTTTTAATTAAGTTATCGATAAGTGGTTTCATGCTATCAATTCTATTAAAATTAAGGGGCATTTACATACATACCACACAATTCTTATTTATTTACGTATCTAACAGTTAAACATTCATATTTTCATGTATATCACTCAAATCTTTGAAAATACATTAGAAACATCACAATCACTACCTTTTTAATAATGAAATACACCTTTTTTATGAATAGGTTTATGACATCAAGGTGGTATAAGTATAAGTATCAAATTTCGGGTGTTATATATGTAAAAACATTAGCATTGTGTATGTAAATTTCCTTAAAATTAATTTATGTATTTTGAAATTTTGATAGTGTAAATGAATTGAGTCCTAAATGAATTTGACCTGGTTTCCTTTTAAGGAAATTACATACATACGACACAATTCTTATGTATTTATATATGTAGCACCTAAATTTTCATATTTATAGTTATGGTATCACAAAGCTATGCACGAAAATGTATATTTCACTTTTAAGTAGTAGTGATATTTTTTATGTGATGTTACAGATTGAGTGTTATGAATGTAAAAATGAAAATTTAGGTATTAGATATGTAAATACAGAAGAATTGTGTGGTGTACTGGTATGTATGTAAATGTCTATTCCTTTTGTTACTTGTAAATGCTCTCATCGTATTGCTCTGCTTGGTAGTCATATTGTGGTGGGTAAAGCTCTTTGGTCAGGTCAGCATGCAATGAAGGACAGAAAGTAAGACCAACAAATTTATTTTTTCTCCATCTCATGCTATATTAAATTCCGCTATTTGTTTATGCTATCCACAAATGTGGAATAACGACATAGAAACCATTTTAATCTAGAGGTATTTATTGCTTTGGCATCATAATGCATTATTATCAAAGCATAAGGTAGTATTTGTATGAATGTTTTTGTATTAGTTGAGAATGTTAACAATATGGATTTTTCTAGAACATGTGAAATCAAATTTATAATTGTCTCTGAATAATGGTGAAAGATGTATATATCTAATAATTTCCAGTGAGAACCAAAAGTGAAAACTTTGATTTTCCTGATATTTCAAACCCGCCAAATGTTACTGGAACGTGTGATGTTGTGTTCTATCAGGAGCACTCACTTTAGGTTTCCTTCTTTATTCTATTGAGCTTTGTGCTGTTCTAGAAATCTATTTTTTTCAAGAACATTTCTGCTTTGATTAAAGTGCTACTTTATATATGAATTCTACATTAAGTATTTAAAATCTCAAAATAATAATAAAAACACTGAAATATGATTATATTTAAAACACTTATCATTCGCACATGCATTGTCTTAGTGAATATAAAGGCAACATATATCGTTCTTTTGAGATCATGAAGTTCTTTCTGTGTATAAGCCTAAAAAATGTAGAGATTAGATGTGCCTTGCTGTCTTTAATCATACATAAAATCCAGATATTTAGCTGACTCAATCAGTTGAAAAGTTTTTCTGTTCTATTGTTCCATCACAGGTTCTTTAGCTGACTCAATCAGTTGAAAAGTTTCTTTCTGTTCTATTGTTCCATCACAGGTTCTTCTGATGACACTCCAAAATGCTCCTCCTGGACTTGATTATGATCGGGATAAAAAGTTCTCAAAGGTATTATGACAATTTTTTAGGCTTTTGTGTACGGCAGCTATTCATACATCTTTGAGCTGGGAGTGTCTTTATAAGTTTTGTTATATTACTTAGTTTCTAACTTATATAATTAGTGGCGTGCCTCTGGAAATAAAGTCTGATAATATTATTGGCGCCATTATTACTGTTTTTCTAATAAAGAATTTTCAGTGGTTATCAGTCTTTTAAAGAAATGGTTGCAATGTGCTTGGTCAAAGATCAAACCAAAAGACCAACAGCTGAAAAATTGTTGAAACACTCATTTTTCAAAAATGCAAAGCCTCCTGAGATGTATGTGAAAAGCCTTTTGGTAGATCTACCACCGCTTTGGGACCGTGTAAAAGAACTTGAGGTTATTCATCAAGATGTACATTTTTGCTTAGTAATTAAATATATATCTATTTTGAAGTACCTATTTTTTTTTGTCAGATTAAAGATGCTGCACAACTGGCAATGAAGAGAATGCCTTCATCAGAAAGGCAAGCATTATCACAGGTTCGTTGTAAATAATATTTTTTTTAGTTTTTTTTTTTTCAATTAATTCCGAGCAATTGATTGAAAGAACTAATTTTATCCATTATTACTTGCACGATAATGGAACAAAGAAACTTAGATGTGTACTTGTATGTTTAAAAATGAATTATTTTTAATGTTAGCCTCAGTAAAATATGAATTTTGTTTCCTGCTTTATGTTTTTCTTTTAAATTTGAGGTTTGAAAAAAGTTCATGTTTGGGGCGGGAAAAAGCTTTTGGTACGCTGATAGTCATGCTAAATGAGGGAAAGAATAACAAGCAAACGGTTGAGTTTTCAATATCTACTTTTCGCTTGTGGGAGGGTGGAAAAAAACAGAGAGCAAAAGAGACAAAAAAGGGTGGACAATGCAGGAAAGTCTTGGGTTTGAAAGGATCCTTGACTGCAGGTCTCCAATTTTATAAGTTTCATTGAGCCAGTTTCACTGATCTTGATTGAGAGATACTTCAGTCTGGCCACATCGAAGTGTGCAGAGTGAAGGATTATGCACTGCTTTCGTCACTCCATCACTTGCATTTTTTTTTATTTGTAAATTTAATAACACTCCTTTGAATTTTAGCATCACCTAGAGTATCTTTTTTTATCCGCGTCATTCCTTCTAGCCCTTTTGTTGCATTAAATTGTTCTCTTTTTCTTAAAGAAAAATCTTGTATTTTAGCACGCTAATGAACTATAATCCTTAGGTGTCTGTTTTGTGCTTTAAAAATGATTTTTTGCTACTGAAAAGAGATTGTATCGTTATTGCTTAAAACTGACTTCAATGGAAATTTAACAGTTATATATGTGACTATGAAAAGTGTATTGATGCGTTAGAATATTGATCTACCAGCTGTGTTTCGGCAGGATGCTCATTTTGTTGTGATCTGAAGTTTTGTTTGAGGATCTTTTTTACTGTTTTTATGGTAGAAAAATCAGCTAATAAAAATCAGCGTTTGTCCGGATGCAACTTTTACACAGCCTTTTTAAAATTGATCTTTCCAAAGCTGCTTCTGGAAAAAAAAATATATTTGAAATTATGGTTGGAAAGTAGCTTTTAACATCGAAATTAAAAAAGCATATGCCTTCTCAAACAAACCTAACAGAAAGCTGGTTCCTAGGAAAACAGATTTAAAATATGCTTGACTTTTTTTTAATCTAACATATATTGTGGATATTATTAACAGAGTGAGTATCAGCGAGGAGTTAGCGCATGGAATTTTGATGTTGAAGATTTGAAGGTTCAAGCATCATTGGTATGGATCTATATATGATCTTTCGTTGTTTATGAAACTGGATTCTTGTTTTTTTTTTAATTCTTCCAAAACTTTTTTTTTTATTGCTCTTCCAGTTTGTTGATTGATGTATGTTACTAATTTTTACTGAAAATTGTTAGATTGAAGATGATGAGGACCTTGTCGATGCAGCAAAGGAAGATAATGGTAGCTTTAGGCATTGCATCAATAATAAGGTTTTGTTACCTTTTATTCTTATTACCGGATATTCTAAGCCATAATTTTATGTTTATTTTATTTTAGATATGTTTGTCTATTTCTTTACATTTTGCAAGCCTCTTCAGTAGATAATGCAGCTTTAATCTTGACAGGAATCATCCATTAGTAGATGTTCTCCTGGAAAGACTTTAACTGCTGTTGAAATTACACACAGGTGGGCAGTCTTATTTATGCAAGCAAGCTCTTCACTCGTTAGAATTCCTTTCATGATTCTGCAGTTATTTTTTGCAATTAATCCCTTTCTTTTCATGTCATTAAGATAATAAATGAGGCTTATGACAATGAAAGTCTCATTAGTGATACTACTTTTTCTTTTATATTTTTTTTGCTTGTTAAATCCAGAGATTTACACAGTGATTGAAAGAATAATGCTATGATTTTTTCATAAATATTTTATGTTGGTTATCGACTATTTAACACTAACCTCCATTTTTCGCATCCAGAGCTTGGGACCAAACAATAACAATGTTGAAAGATAAGTTTGTAAAATTTTTAAGCAATATAATTATAGATAAAATTTTGAAAGATAATGTTGTAAAAATTAATATAATTTGAGATAGAATTATAGCCTTCAAGATTGTGTTATTGATACTAAGATTTTTAATGTTAGAAGTTCTTATGTTTCTCATGTAGGTTTAAATATATGTTCAAAAGAAAAATTTTGGAATAACCTAGAAGAATTAATATAAATGATACATCTTAAAGAAAAAAGTTTAAATTGGAGGAGATTTAAATGGACATATTAGTAGAGTAGTAGAAGATTTTAGAAATATTCATGGTGGCTGTGATTTTGGAGTGACTAGTAGGACTGTGAATTTAGCTCGAAAATCGTTAATCGCTCGAAGAGGGATTCAAATTTTGGCTCGGATCAAAATCAGGTCGAAATAAATGAGCCAAGCTACGGGCCAAAATTTTGTATCGAATTCTTTTCTAGCCGATTTTGAGCCAACCCCACCTTGGCTCGAAATCGGATTGTTAATAGCTTATGCCTGTGAATTTAGCAAATTTAGCTCAAAGATTGTTAATCGCTCAAAAATTCATTTGAATTCTGGCTCAGATCGATATCTAATCGAAATAAACGAGCCGAGCTACGAGCCAAAATTTTGGATCGAATTTTTTTCAAGCCGATTTTAAGCCAACCCCATCTCTGCTCGAAATCGAATTGTTAACGGCCTTAGTGACTAGTGAAGAATGTCGAGTCATATTGGATTTTGCTTTAGTTTATGATTTTGTTATTTCTAACACTTTATTTAAGAAACAAATAAGCATATTATCACTCATAAGAATTGATCTAATGAAACACAAATTTATTATTTTCTTATGAGAAGTAGAGATCGTCGAGATTATAAATATTTTAAGATCATTTCAATCTACAATTCAAGTACTCAACATCGATTATTAGTTTTGGATTTTAAGATGAAATGTTTGATGATGAAAAATATAATGAAAAGTTGTCGTAGAATTAGAAAATGACACTTAAAAGACATAATAATCGACAACTTTTAAGAAAATGACACTTATTGATATTTGTGAATAAGCTATTGCGTGGTTTAATGTAATAAACACTATTAAACAAACTACAAAAGATGTGCTTGGAGAATCAAAATGAAAAACTCTTATAAATAAAAATATTTGGTAGCGGAATAATAATGTGCAAAAACAATAAAATATAAGTTTTGTTATAAAAATTATCTTAAATGTAAAAACTTGGAGAATTGAAAAAAATATTAAGTGGCCTATAGGGAGTTTAAGAGAAGATTTTGTGACGCTAAAATTTCTACATTTAATGATTTTTGGTAAGAGATTAGATACTAAAGAAGATGAAAGAAATATGTATAAACTAGTCAAGTAAAGAGATAAGAAAAGAAAAGATTTTATTAAAATAAAGTATATTAAGGATAAAAATTAGAAAGCGTTTTTCTTAGATGAGGATACTCAACATAGCTAGATAAGATATTTTTATAAACTTCTCAATATATATTTGAAAATGTAATCTACTTTAGTGATCTTAATATTGTTAACAATAATATATATTTTTTATTTTAACCATCGCATTAATAAAATAAAAGTTTAGAGGCTTTCATGAAAATGATGGGTAGAAAATCAGTAGAATCTAATTATATCTCAATAGATATGTGAAAATATTTAGGAGATTTGAGAATTTTTTGACTTACTAATTTTTTTATAATATTATTTTAAAAACTAAAAAGATCCCTATGGAGTGGATGAATGGTGTTTTGGTGCTTATTTTTAAAAATAAAGGAGATGTACAAGCTAGAGTGTGTAAATTATAGAGGAATTAAGTTTTTCATACGTTAAAATTATGGAAGATAGTAATTGAATATAAGTTATGCGATACAAAAATTTATCAAAATTAGTTTGAATTTATGTTAGACAAGTCTATTATGGAAGCTATATATTTTTTTGAGAGGTTTGGTGGAGTAGTATAAAGAGATTAAGGAGCATCTACATATGATTTTTGTGAATTTAAAAAAAAAGAACTTATAATAATATTCCAAGAGGAGTTATTTAGCGAGTTCTAGAAAAGAAAGGTATTGATGTGACTTATATTCAGTTCATTAAAGATATGTATACTAGAGTTGTTACTTGTGTTAGAATAGAAGGAGGATTGACCAAATATTTTTCTATTTCAATTGGATTACATCAGATGTCAGCTTTAAGCCCATATATTTTTTCTTTAGTTTGGATGTTCCTACTGAACATTTACAATAGGATGTACCTTGGTGTGTATTTTTAGCTGATGATATCCTTCTTGTGGATAAGACTAGAGAAGAGTTTAAGATAAACTTGAATTATGGAAATTAACTTTAGAGCCTAAAGGCTTTCGTTTGACTAGATCTAAAATTGAATATATTAAATGTAATTTTAGTAGTACTAGATTTAATGATGGAGTTGTAAAAATGCGTGATCAAGGCATTAAAAGAAGTGAACTTTTTAGATATTTCAGGTCTATTGTTCAAAGTGATGGTGATATAGATGGAGATGTTAATAGTAGAATTCAAGTTGGATGGTTGAAGTGGAGAAATGCATCAGGGCCGATTGTATGATTAAAAGGTAATGCATAGGCTTAAAAGAAAATTTTATAAGATGGTGGTGAGACCTGCAATGCTTTATGGTGTAAAATTTTGGTCTATAAAGGAGAAACACAAAACTATGTGTTGCTAAGGTGAGAATGCTTAGGTGGATGAGTGACTTTACCCTTACATACAAAATGTGAAACAAATTGATGTAAGATAAGTGGATGAGTGACTTTATCCTTAGCTCGTGAACCGGCTCTTTTAAAACATAATTGATGCAAAATACACTCTAAATATACTGAAATTTAAGTTTTTTTCTTTAAATTTTTGAAAACATGTTAAAACGATATTTTATATTTTAAAGATGTAAAATCGTTTATCATTTTAATATAACATTAACTTGAATTAATATTTTGTTTCTTTATCATAATAATCACTAGCCGGTTTGAACTCGTAGAATTAAGCTCGAGCTCGAACTTGATTAAGTTAATCAAGCTCAAGCTCAAGCCGAGGGTGGCTCAAGTTTGACTCAACTCGTTTACATCCCAATGTCTTGAGTAAAATGACTTTCTTATGATCTTATTTGCCTTTTCTAGGGAAAAATCCTTACTTTATGTGGAGCTTTCCTCTTTCCAACCTTATATTATGTTGATTAACTTGAATCAATTTTGAGCTTAGTCCAAAATGGAGTCATTTTGAGACGAGCAAAATCAACTTAAAATGAAATCTATTTCAAGCCAAGTTTGAGCTGAACTTAATTTAATAACTTTGAGCTCAAGTCAAGCAAAACTTGCCCAACTCATTATAAGCCTTTTCTAGATTTCTTTTGCTTCGGTGGGATGTTGGTATTTTATAGCACCGATGCTTGATAACATGATAAATTTTTTATTCGCTTTATTCAATTTTGTACCATTAATTGGGTTTTAATTCTCATAATTACAGCTTTGCACCTAAAGAAAGTTAATTTGTGCATTAAGTTGTCTTTCATATGCAAATCCTTATTTTCCCTCTTAAGATTTATTTTTCATTACGCTGTTCGAATTGCATTAGAAAATCTATACCTCAAATTATGCTGTATCATCTATATTTGCGGCATGTTGTAATGCTGCTGTTGCTTCTAGCAAAAAATACCTTTTGTTCAATGTTTCATCCAGATGCATGGTGATATGACATGATTACATCCAGAAGTGAATTATCTTCACTGCATCGCTCACTATGATTGTCATTTTGATGAAGAGTAGGGTAGTGTTTAAATGTGCTGTTTCTTTTTCTTTTACCATGCAGACCAAGCAAAAATGGCGGCAACGTCCATGATGGTAATGGTTTAATAACAAAAGACGAGTATGTGAGAACAGGCTTTCTGGACTCCAGCAGTCAAGTTGGCGTTAACGGATATGACACGTTCAGACAAACAAATGATTCTATGCCCTCAACATCGATGCAACATGCTGAATCACAATCGAAATTTCGGGCTGAGAGAAGGAACCGAACATACAGTGATCCTCTTATGCCCTCTGGCGTGCAAAACAGTTCATCAGAAAGAGGGCGAGCCTCCGAAAGGTTTATTTCCTTATCTTCTCAAAGTACTTATATTGTTGGATTAAACACTTCTTTAATCTGGATGGGTCCAAGGAACCTACTTAATTCATACTATTTGTTCATTAAAGCATATCTATATTCCCATCAGCACTCGGTATATTAGTGCAGCTGTTCATGTATGATCATAAACAACTACTTTGTTAACAAGTCTGTTCTTTGATACCTCCTTTAATTTGCAGTGTAGTATACATTTGTAGATCTGTACACATTTTTTGCGATGAGTCTGGGTAGCATGAGTTCGTGCAGTGAACAGAAAACCTTTCAAAAAGAGTACCACATAAAGCGCTTAAATCTAGAAACATGAGTTAATGATTTATATGGTGGGATAATAAAATAAATAGATAATATATTTTGAGAAAATCAATTATCACCAAATCAATGCCAAGAACAAAGCCACCAAGCTAAGTTTAGAATAAATTAACTTCTCAAATCATATTTGAACATAACCTAACTTGAGATTGTTAACTTTCCAACATATATATAGCATTTCTAACGCCTAAATCATGAATGCATATTAAAAGACATTGAGGAAGGCCAACGGCCACAATGCTTTGACACTTGAATTCTTCTCCGAAACTGAATGCATCCATTTGTGTGCATGAACTCCAAAGCTGGCCTAATTTTATGTATTAATGAACCAGGCAAGGAGAAACGAGCATTCTTCTTCAAGGAGAATCAACCTAATCCATGTGCATGTTTCTTAATATGATGGGTCGCAAGAAGCTTCCAAATATCTATTTTGCATATGATAGGTCACATGAAGCTTCCATGAACTAAAGTTTGACGCTTCATTTGCCCATCCACTTGAGCTATAATTGCCAGTTTGGAGGAGTTGGAACCATGCTTGCGCTGCTTTTTTTTCATGGAACTTACTTACCTAGCCTTTAATGTTTTACTTTAATTTGATTAGAATTATGCTGGCTTGCATGACCATCTTTGCATGAATAATAAAAGACACTACTATTGTATCAACTTTGTATGAATTGCACTGCACCATTAATAAAACTCCTCTTCATTATAGTAAAATATGCTATTGCAAACTAATAACAAAATATGATACAATAATTATATAATCTAATAATATAATAAACATGATAATATCAATTAAGTTGTGGAGGAGGTGATCCATGTAGTCTCACCTTTGCCTTTCATTCTTGTTCGTCATTAATGGCACTTTCTTCTGTTGCATCAATAAGTCCACTGATACAGTGATATTATCATTTACCTCTTTTTTTTGTGAGTTCTTGTCCCGTGTCTAACTTTTTCAGACCAACTTATGGAACTGAAATTAACACTCTTTTAAGTAATACACAGAAACAAATACACGATTATTCCATAGCCTACTTTATGTCACCAGTTGAGCCTTCATGACTGCAGCCAAAAATATTTATAAGAGTTTTTCTCCTTGTATTCATGGCTTCATTGGTTTTGTAGATTTGTAGTAAGCTTGTTAAGTAGATACTTTAAGGTTTGACTTGCTTGGATTAATAACATTTGATGTAATTTATTCTACTTTTTTTAGGATTGAAGGTGAAAAGAAATTATCGACGGAGAGATCTAAACATGATGCTCGGAAGCCTCCCAACATAGGTGGTCCTTCATTACTTCCAAAACGTGCTTCTTCGAACAGTTTGTCCGCTCCCATACCATCCATGAAAGGTGAGAAACTTTTTGGTTTATCCATAGGTTTTATCCTTCTACCTCAAGTAATTTGTTACTTTTTTTGGGACATAAAGTCCTTGTAAAGGTGGGCCAAATGTAGGCTTCATAGGAAGACTTTAGAACTAGGTGATGGAATTAAGAACTGATTGAATCATGAAATTTCTGTAGAATTTTTTTTTATTTTCTTATCGTTCATTAAATTGACACCTCCGTTTTGTTTAAAGGATATGGAGATTCTCGGGAGGATAAGTCCGGGGCTAATGTGGTGCAAATAAAAGGACGGTTTTCTGTTACATCTGAGAATGTTGATCTTGTAAAGGTTAGATCTAACGTTTAGACTTAGGTTCTCTATTAGATGAACGGATTTGTTCCATGCAACTTCATTTGCATACCCAGGATGTTCTGTTAGGAACAGTTCCACAAATTCTTCCGTTTTCAATTTCATTACAAGCATGGCTTTAACTGTTTAACATATTAAAGTTTCTTTCTTGTTTTCCATTTTAATGATGCGGCATCTCATCAGCGCCCACCACTAAGAAGATCTGCAAGCTATGGTGATTTCTTAATTAATCCTAACCAAGTTGTAAGCAGGATTTTCATCTTCCATCTTTACTGTCCTTATGTTCTTTTTCATGATGTGTGCATGCATGTGAGTGGACAAGGTCAGCCCTGAAAGTTTGCTTTTGTGTTTGTTTGGATTACCTGTTGCAAGTATACTTCATAATTTAGGTGAGGCTAGTTTGATATAAAGCAATATTGAACTCTATGAAATCAATCATTTTTAAGCAAATTTTCACCAAAATAGTTATGATTTCCATCAAATATTTCTTTCCAAAGGTATGTACAGTGAAGAAAATGCCTTTCTCAAAAAAAAAGGCTAAACATCATCGAATTCTTAGTTAATTGTTTATCAATATTAAAGTTAACCTTAAAGATATTACTTTCTTTCAACCAGTGATGTGAAAGGCTAATAGGACACCAGTGATGTGAAAGGCTAATAGGACACTTAGGCAAACTAAGAAATATCGCCTCACATCTTTTTCATTTTGGTACCATTGCTAAGACATGCCAAGGTGAGTAATTTGCCTTAAGGAGACATGCTGTGAGGCTGGCGCCTTGATTTTAGAAATATACTATAAATGCAAATGATGAGTTAGTTCTAATGAATAAATAATTTGACATGAGATGGGCATAATTAAATTTTTAGAAATAAAGATGTCCACTTGGAAACAAGTTATCTTAACTTAGGTAGAGGTGGTTCAAATTTTAGATTAATAAACCTTGTGGGTGAAGAAGAGTGCGAGGAGATAGAGAGAGCAAGAAATTTTATCGATTAAAAAGGGGGAGTGTGAATGATTGAAATGATGTAATAAATATTGAGGAAGATTAAATTAATCCTTGGCCACACATTCTATGAACTTTATTATGTACTATAATTACTCAAAATTATAAATTTACCTAGACAATTGATCTTGCTGGATAATAGAACATGAAAATTCATAAATTTATTTGGTTTCTTTTATATGATAATTATCAGCTCACACTATTAAAAAACATTCATCATATTTAAAATTATTTAATAAGTGATGATATAGTTCAAGTGTCAAAAGTGGTGTTGAGCTCCTTAGGTGTTATAAATCATGAAATCTTGAAAGTAAGTAGCACTTTTTAACAACAATGCTTTAACAATTGTCTTGTGATGTGCAATCCTTTCTTCTCATCCGAACTAACAGCTACGGAGAGGGCGAAGATAGATGTACTTATACTTGATGAAAGCTCTCTCTGCGCCCCTTGCTTTTTCTAGCGCCTTTGGCGGTTAGCTCTAAAAAGATGGAATGATCTACATAATCTAAGAACAAGAAGCATCTCCAATCAGCAATTGATTCCCTTTACGATAACTCCTTCCTTGGGTGGCCACCTACCTATTAATGGGATTATAATTAGTTCATGCAAATAATTATATTTAGATTAATTTAAATAAATCTCTAATCATATCTGAAAATTTGAATTCTAAAATTGAAAGTAATTGAATTTTAAAATTTAGATTTTCAAGTTACCACAATTAACCACACAACTATATTAGAAATAAATTATTTGCACATGATGCTCACATAAATGAAATAAAATTCTAATAAAATAAATTAGAAGCTAAGATTTTTATTCTACTTATGGTGATTGGATCTCCTTGATTAGTTGTAATTTTTTTTGGATTGAGCTCTTGTGACCGGTCTAATCCTGTCACCATAAGCCTCATGTGCTACATTAAAAATCCTTGGCACTATATATATTTCTTTCTTGTATTTTCAAGGAGCCACCCTTTTTTTTAATTCCCAAGACATAGAATAAATGAAGATATAATTAAGTGAGGTTTGGGGTCACTTTTATTTTTATTTTTATTTTATTTATTTATATTTTGATTTAAATTAAAACATGTTTGATTGAGGTAGTTATTTTTAAAAAAACTTGAAGCATCTTTTTTATGTTTTGAGTGTTTTTGAAAACAAATTGATTTGTTTTTAAAAATAAAATATAAAAAAATCTAAAAATTATACCAACGAAACATATTTTCAAAAAGAAATAAAAAAAAAAATTGATATCAAACCGGCCCTTAGTATATATCATTAAGAAACACTTTTTGAGGATATTATATGGCATCACTTTTCCCAGGATTGTTTGTTTTAATGATGTTCGTATCATATTTTTGAATGATGTATATAGTTACTAAAGATGTCACTTAGTTCTTAACGCGGGCTCCTCCTTAGCTGAACTGGCTGGGAGGCTAAATCGGTTCAACCAGGATGGTGCAGGGGCCGACTGACCATTTTGATGTGGTTAGGGTTGCCGCCCAAGGGGAGGTACTTCCCCTTAGTTATCTATTATTATTGGTTAAGATTCAGTTTTTTGCTTCAGTTTCTCTGTCTTCGACATCTTTCTCCCTCATCAGAGTTGTATCTAAGGACAGGTGGTACTCCAGCTATTTCTTGCTCCAAGGTGGTGGTTAACTCCTTGCATTCCCTCCTCTTTCCTCCTCTCCTACTTCCCACTGACCCTTCTCGCCCTCCCTAGCTTGCCACCGACCCTTCCAATGTCCTCCTGCTAGTTGTTGACCTCCTTCCATTGACCGCCTGCTTGCTGTCGGACCCTTCCAGCTGTTGTACCCTTCCAACCTATGAAGCACTAACAAGGACACGGTGATAAAGACAAGACACGATACAATACAATGAGACAACATAATTGCAAAAAAATAGAACACGTACGACGTGGACACATTTTAATATTTTTAATAAATTATTAATATAAATATATATTTTCAATATTTTAAACTATAGACATCACAAAATAATAAATGCAATCATTAAGAAAAATTTATAATGCTAAACTCATAAAGGTTGTTTTTAGCAATATCAAAATTACATTCAAAATATCAAAAATTTATCAGAATACTTATTACCAATATCATTCATAATAAAATAAAGCAAAATATAGCAAAATGTCAAAAAATAACAACATTATTATCCTTAATTGGAGTTAATGCATTTAACAGTGGTGTCATCATTTGTGCTAACCAGTTTTTAGAAATCTATATATATATATATATATA